AAAATAACAGTTTGGCGTGTTAAAAGTGTACGGATCGTCTTTAAACATGTCTTTTTGATAGCGACACCATATGATCTTGTCCCACTGCTTTCTTAACATACGCATTTCCGTATACCAGAGCCAGTGCCACGTTCAAGCTTGGTGAGTTCTTATTCAAAACCATCCCTTAGGAAAACATCAAATATCTGCGCTTACATCTCTCTCTGAAGCAAGGGCCGGTGTTATGTTATCCTAAATACACTTTCCATTGTGATAATTTGTTAATACGTTACTTGATCTCCGTTTTGACTTTATTGTGCTCCATGCGCGGGTCCCCAGGCTTATATGCGGCGTGAAATGGGATTTTTGTTAGCACTCCGACACCTTACTTGAAAGGAAGAAAATTGGATTTATGCCCTTTTAGCTAAAGAGAGGCCCAACTATCAATCGCCAGATTGAATTTACGCCTAACCGAATTTCACGGCTCGTAAAAGATAGCGTAGGAGTCGCAGCATGAAAAAATAAAGTTTTGCACACCGATTCAATCTTGAAATACGTAAAAGCGCGCTTGTTGTTAATTGACGAAAACGAGAGATTATGATCACCCAGCATCGCAAGAACGAACGGAAGACAATAATAAACGTGTATCTGACATCATATCTTGGGGTCCGCAATAATAATGATGTAACATTTTCTTGAATGAGCCGGGTGTTTATGATGCTTTAGTTCTGCGTCGCGACCTCTGCCTTTTGCCCATAACCGTATTAGCGGCTTCGATACGTTCTTTAACTCGCCAGCAGGTGAGTCCACATTGTTAATAAACAAACTTAGATAACTTCTTTCAATAACCCCCCATAACGCTGGGTACTTGACTGATTCTAAAATACGATAAGTATTTATTATAACTTTTGGCCTTTTTGTTGTAGAGACGGCTGGCAAAATGCTATCGAGAGAGTCAAAAATTGCCTGCTCATTATTCATACAAATGCAATCATTTTCATCTATGTAATCTGAATGAAAGATGCTACTCTCAAAAAGATTAATTGAATTATTTTAAAATAATTTTTTATAAAGAAAAAAAAAACACAAAGAGGTGGACTGGGTATTCTGAAAGACATTTTAGCTTGAAACATATAAAGAGGTGGCTAATCTTCCCAAGAATTGGCGCTAAAGAGCCAGGAATCGATATATTTTACCTCGTGGGTGGGCGCCAGACATTTTCAAAAACTCATTTTCCTCTTGTCAGCCGGGTGGCGAAAAAGACTGGCAAGCAAAAGCACACCGTGAAATTAAGGAGCTCGACAAAAAGCAAAATCTTCGATAAAAACTCATGGTGGCAGGCAGCTCTCACAGACAGAAAACGCTCGCTCTCATACTTAGCGTTGATTTAAATGTAATTAACATTAATTGTTTTTCGCGTCCGTGGCAGCAAAATCTATAGCGTAAACAATACAAACATCACTGAGATCTGGAGAGGACCAGTCAGCAGGCTTGGCAGTCTACCACGGCCGATAGGAGAAGCGTTACCAGAAGTGCCGCCTCAGTTTACCTCGGTTCTTGACACGTATCGCACCTTTCATATACTCCGCAACTTATGACTCTCTGGTAATGCCATTGCGCCCCGCATCATTTCTGCGCTAAAAACTTGCCCCCGACTTCAAAAACAATCAGGTAAAGCATCCAACTTTTTCAATAGAGCACGTCGTGGGAATGAAAATTGGGGATATCTATGAAGGTTTTTCTTTCACCCTTGAAACAGAAGTCAAACTCAAGTTGTTCAATAAAACACAAACTGGCGTGTAATAGGAACACCACGTCGAGCAGGCTCGGATCTCGAAGCAAAGTGAAGGCGTTTATACAATCGGTTCAGGTCAAGAGCCTTTTTTTTCTTTTTTGTACTTAGGACAAATTAGCATTTCATTTTTTCCTATATCTTTGCTTTCGTGAATAATATTTTCGAAACAAATTATTTTCTCTTAACCAGTGTCCTAATGATGTATCTCAAAAATCGTCTGCTTGACTTCGATCACACAACTTCCGCGCATTATAAATCTCAACTTGGAAATATGATATGGCTATATGAAATATCCTTTTTTACCCACGGTGGTTTTCAACACACAATTAGCTGTTTCAAAACAGGTACAATTGGCCTAAGTAGCTCGACCTTCAAACTGAAATGTTTTATAATGTGTGTCTGGAAGCGTTCTTTTGCTGTGGGGCCGAAGTTGCAAAGAATGCCGCCTCGTCCTGGAGCTTGCACGCGCAACTAGAGATAGGTGCCGAAATAGCCCCTAAACTATGCGCGCGTTTGATGTTGTTAATGCTCCGAGCGTTAAAAGAGCATTAAGCGAAACATCTATAACTTGCTTGAAATTTATATTTATGGTCGGATATCATTACTAAGTTAACTGCTTACAAATGAGTTGTTCTCTTTTTTCCGTGTCACTGTGAAAAAAAGTTATTATATTGATTCAACAGTTTTAATTTAAAAAACAATCCATTTTCTTTTGGCGCTGGTACATGTAGCGATTCTCGACGTAGTTTCTGACACATAAAAGCTCCAAACAAATTTTTAAAACGAATAAAACCAAGGAATACAATAAATTCAATTTCAAAATACATATGTATTAATTGATTCAAGTAAAATATCAAAAGACAAATCAGGTAGCAATAAGTAACATTATGCAATTAATTAGACTTTTTGTGGTTAAAAATGATACTCCCCTGAAATGACAACTTTCAAAATCATTTGGAATTGTCATGTGGTCAGTTTTCCACAGGTTGGCAACCAACTATCTATCGGACAGACGATTTTGTACCCGTCAGCCTGTTACTTCGGTACACTTCTTAAAATAACTGACAGTAATGAACGATTAGACATTAGTAATTATTTTGGCCATCCCAATATAATTTAATACCGCTTCAGTATCAGTAACGGTGACAGCTGTGAAGAAATGGACGATAAAATATATTTAGTCCAATAATGTAGTTACCCGTTATGTGTATGGGAGTGTGAAAACTGAAAATTATCTTATACTTATACAAGTATAATGCACTGTGTTCACTTTATTTATACAATGATTACAATCCCTTAGATACAAAACAGAATTTTCTTCTTTTCCGTTCATTAAAATTTTCTTTTTGTAAAATTTTGTATATTTTACGTCAAAGGTAATTTGATCTCTTAAAAAGCTTTCATACAGGTGCAGATAATATTTTAATAAAAATGCTGCTGCATTATTTCCCCAGGACTGTTTCTTTAAATCAAAATCCGTTGAAATTTGAAATTTTCTGTTTGAATTTTTTCAACTTTATCTTTCTAAGTCTAATTCTTAAAGTTACAAAGCATTTATTAGTCAGGTATTTTTTAAAGCATCAGCGTGGCTATTGGTAAAGGAAGGAGAAGAATATTAGCTACCACGAGTAGAGTAAAATACACACATCAGTGTTTAACAATGTACACCCAAATGTTATATACCGGCAGCTGTTCACCATTCGTACATTAAGTTACGCTGGGTTTATATGTGTGTGTGTGTGTGTGTGTGTGTGTGCGATAATTCCTGATGACAAAATAAATGTATAGAACATGCTTAAATCGCCAAGAAAAAAATCGTAACGCTTATACACAAGTTGAGAATCGAATTTAGAATTAAAAATGGACTTTTTTCATCAAACCTACTGACCAGTGCGTCGTGAAAACTTTTTATCGATGAGTATGTTATACTCTTAGATACATTTTGTTTATACACACAAACCAACGAATACCGTGTCCATCCTTAGGGAAACATATTCAACGCAGGACGTAAGAAAATGCGCCTATGTACATTTTGCGCTTAACCTCTACAAAAGAGTATGGGTCAGAAGAAAGGCTAGGTTATTATGGGGTAATTAATTAACTTAAAAAAAAGAGAAAAAGAGGAGTGTTAATCATATTTCTTCCCGATTCCCGTCCAGCCGGCGCAGGTTCCATCTGTTGACACGATGCTAATGACATTCATTACTGAGAAACATTAACAATCCGTGTCCTTGTGGTACAACGCGCAGGCTTCTTCTGCCACCTTCTTCGCTCATTTTGTTGTTGGATAGTATGTTGAACAACAAAAGAGAGATAATGAACAATTAACCGCAGTCATTAACGCCAAGCTGAGACGCTGCTGCAAGCAGAAGATGCTGTTAATGAAGTGCCGATCTTATTTTAGCCTCTCAGTGACCCGATGTAATTATTCTGCTGCATTTTTGAAACGATGGAAGCGAGTCGAATGGCCATAACAATAATTCTTATGAAGCAAAAAAGTTACACCTTTTTACCAAATTTACAGTCATTTTTCAAACTACCTTGTGATTAGTTTACGTTAAACATGGGTGTTTGTGTAAGCAAAGACATTTGTAGGGTCCAAAACACGGAGCCTACGGATTTGATGATCAGTGTTTAATATAGAAGGCTGATAGCGTGACTAAAGTGATGCATTCTGAAACTGACAACAATTAACTTAAGAGATTATAATTACCATAACATTTAAGGGAATTATAGATGTACTTTAAAGAAATATCTAAACCAAAAGATTTGACGTAAATTTCGTGATCTTTGTTACTCAATCAGTTTTATAAACTAAAGAAAAAGAGCAAGGATACATTTACCCCAAATTATGCTCGTGTTTTCGTTATCATTTTTAGAAACGTTTTTCTTTTTTCATAACATAATTCTAAATGTGCACATGACACAATTTTTACTGTCACGCTTATTTACCGCCTTTCTCTTGGGAATATTTTTTTTTTTAGACGCTAGAACTCGCCATAAGCTTGTTTGCACAGTTAACTGGCGGTCTCTCACACTTACATACACAGCAATGATACTCACAAATAAACAATGGCCACCTACAAGACGCGTGTTGTTCATAATAATATTGACACTTTTCCTCATAATTGCAGAAAAAGAACCGAATTTATTTTCTACCGGCTCAATAAATATTTACGCCTCCTTTTTCTAAAGTCTCAAACAAAACACAAAACAACAAGCGTGGTTCTTAAACAAACAACTTTGTAATTAACACACCATAAAAACTTCCTACAGCAGGCTTCTCCTTTTCCAGTATCCTTTCAGTCTAACTACACAAGTTTACCTTTCAAGTTAAAAAATAAGGAAAAAATGAAAAATTAAGAAGAAAAAAATTAAACCAAATGGCTTGCAGGAGATTTTATGGTATTCTAATGCTCATAATAGCTTGACAGCTTTTCAAGATAAGTGAAAGAATTTTTTTCTTTCTGCTGTAACCGGGAGGGCAGAGAGGGAAATCCCCCAAGGTGTCTCACTAATGGTATCTAACCTTCCTTTCACCTCCTATCTTTATCACCTTAAGTGAGATCGATTAGTCAAAGTCTCAATAGAAAGTCTGACATGAGAACAATATTAAAAACATCTTACTTACAGCCACGAGGCATAATTATGGTCAAAAATAAAATTTTATTGGAGAAACACACACCAAATTATTTCTTGCTTGTAGGCGTTTGCTATATGCGTGTGACACAAGCAGTTCCCTTGTAAAATTATTTGAAAGTAAAATGCTGGCCCATGAAAACTATGAAAATAGTGACCAGCTCAGCATGATGCAAATCGCCACCTTTAAACAGAAATGCAACGCTGAAAACTCATGTAGTTTTTAAAACTTTCGCAGTTATCACATCTTTTGAAAAGTAATATTTTAGATGGCAAGAGTAAAATTCACTGAAGGTACTTTTTAACTGACAATGGAAAATCATAATTTCCTGATATGTCATTGTGTTTTCAGCACCGTAGAAATATATCAGTAGGTATTGAAATTGTCATTACGGAGAAAAAACGTAGCAGGAAAATATATTTACGGCACCCTGCATTTGCAAGTTCAACAGGAGCCGCGAACATCATTGCTACTGTTGCATACCATGCTACATTTCTGAAAAGAAAAATGATATACCCATTGTAAAACGGCGAAATCCGGGGTGAGCAATGGAAACCATAACTATTTTATAGCGACATACTCCCCGCTTAAGGACAGGAGCTCATGCCAGAAATTCTTGCAGCCACGTTGACAAGTGGTAATGAGATGAGATCACTATGTTAATTGACACACCTTGCAAAGGACACACGGCGTTATTGCTTAGGAAACAGCAATCTAATACCGCTTGCACAACTTTACATTGCTTTGGAATGTAAACCATGGAAACTGCGGGAGGTTAATTGAAATAGTATCCATTGGGTATATATTCTACTGAAATTGTCAAATTGTGTTATCATTGAATAGGTATTTGGATGTAAGTCCGTTAACTATGCTGAAATGATATGCAGTTATCTCCCTGGCTATCTATATCAAGGAAATAAAGTGTGGGGTTGAAATACACTTTTTGGGAATACAAAGTAAACAGAATAAAGCGATAACTTTATATTTTCAACATATTTCTGAGAAGGTAAAAACAACATTAAATACTGCGTTCTTAGAAATCCTTCTTTTATAAAATTGTCATAAGTGCTGTTGTAAGTGCTGTCAGTAGTGATGTATAATATATGTAGCTGACAGAATATTTAACAGCACAGTACACATTTTACATTTATGACAGCTGTGGGGATATGTAAGTGATCTGGCTTACTATAACTGCATAAATATAACAAGGTATGTCAATATCTTATACATCATTCAATAGTAAATTTCAATATAAAATTGTTATATAAATATATGTACCGAGGTGCACAGATATACAGTCAATTTAAATTAACATATCAAAATAATTTGCCTATAAATTTTCAAAGTTAACAAGCTGTGGTGTTACTGTTATTAAAAAATCATTTTAATATTTTAAAAATACCTAATAATGTCAATTCTCATTTCTTGGAAATTTTGAACATCATAATTAAAGTCTTCCTATCAACTTTGTATGCACATTTATGATTCTTAAATATTTCATTATATTCACTTGTGTAATGCTGGTCTTTTCCACCTGGTTCATGAAAAAACAAGCTTGCTGAGAGGATCAAATCACAGTCCTTTGTTATAGTACACCGCTGGCTCAGAGGTAGCTTCTTGAAGTTTGGCTTCAAGATCTTTTGTTGAAATCTAAAAAATAAATAAATAAAATAAAATAAATACACATAAGAAAATACAGTAAACATTAATTCTGTCCTTTCAGTGATTTTCTATGACAAGCACAAAACATGCTTTTCATGCACAATATTTATGCTAAAAAAGAACGGTAAGAGCAAGAGGCAAAATATGAATCTAATGAAATAATCTAAATCAGTATAATTTTTGACATTAATTCTCAGTTTCAAATGGTTACAATCAGTGCCCAGCTGTGCTGTTATCTCATCATCTGAGAGGTTTCTTTGGATCAAATCTTTTCTGTTAAGTGTTGATTACTACAACCTTTCACATGTCATTGAAATCATATTTATTTATGGCGGGGCTCATTCTTCAACCCCTGACCCTAGATTTTTGACCTCACAAACATTTTTGCACCTATAGACGATAATATTGTTTTCTTCACTATTCCCTTAAGTATATGATAACATCACCATCTCATATTAAATTTATTTTATGATGAATCGATCAATGGATAATTTTTCTGAATACAAAAATATGTGTGGCATGTGATGTCTCTCGGGTTGAGAAAGTTTCTTAAATACAAGCAGGTTCCCCCAGTCTTGTAAGTGATCCCCACCAGCTATCAATGACTGTGGACTATCTCTTCCACTCCACAAACCATCACCTTTATCTGTAATTACACTCCGCGGACAAAAAGAGGCAATTTTTCTGCCACTGAAGCTGTTCATCCATCCATTAATGTACACCGCATGAGAGGGCTTCCTTAAATAAGCCATCTCAATCTTTTTCAAATTTACTCTGATCAGCCCTGCCCCTACAAATGATAAGTCTCTCCTTGCCATGGCTATGTCAGTTTTTCTTTTATAAAGATAGCACCCGAATCATCAGATCGCTGAACAGACAAATATTATAAAGAAACTTCATCCATAGTTGCCGCCTATCACTTTGGTCCTGCCACCTCTTGATGGAGGACCTTCAATGATCACATGGGGGAGGTACAAGCACTTAATTGTTAACAGTGCCATTAATCACTGTATATTGATCACATTCAGATTGGTAATAGGACTACCAAGTTTGGTATGGAGAAGGATATGCTACACTTTCATACCAAGGCCCACAGCTTAGTTTGGATTGAAAAAGAACCTTGTCTTTAATGTTTAAATGGGAAAAAAGTAATACCAGCTGCTTGTAGAAATTTAATATCAGAGGTGTAAAGTTTTGTATTGTTTCAATAAGTGAAACATGTAATCTATGTAAGAACTTATAAATTAAAAGGGATACGAGTGAGGTAGATATTTATCTGCTATACCATGACACATGTCAGGTAGTCAGTATTAATACAAGGTACCACTGTTCTCCTAATACTGCAATTAAAGCACCTTTTTAAAATGTAATTTCTATAGCACTTTTTTTCAAATTCTCTTTGGGAAAAACATAATGATAATAGCACACCAATCCACATAAACAATCCATCATTTTAATTTACAGAATAGACATTAATCTTGTAGTGCTACAGCTGGTCACAAAACATGGTAACCTAAGAAAAGGAAACTATTAGATTTTTCATCTGATTAAGTCAATATGCCACCTTAATGACGTGTCAAAATCTTCGTTTTCATTCAAGATAACACTATTCTGATCCATAACACTTCCTACAGGTCACTTTGACAAGCTATCAGTGTGTTCAAAGGTTTCCAACAATTACTACCCAATCTCATTACATTATCCTGGCCCCAAAGAAAGTGAAAATCAATTCATATAGAAGAATAAGATCAGTGAAAAAGATGATATGCCTGCACAGGCATGAAATGAATAGGTTAAATGATTTTTGAAGCACTCTACCATATTTTTGGAGAATGTCTCATCAATAAGAAACTTTCTGAGTCAGACCTTTTTTGTATTAAGGAAAGTGGGTTAGTAGGATACTTTGTTTTTTCACTTAATCACAAAGTTATAAAGAAAAAGATCAGCCTGAAACCGTAATTAAGTTGAAATTTCTTTTTTCAGGAATGAAAACCACAACCAATTGAATTCCCAGTAAAATTTCTACTTGTCAACAAAAGCAAAACTACTGGTACTTCGATATCTGGTAGAAGGAATTCCCTAAATTGTATCAAAAATTATAACAATTATTAAGTAAAGCTACAAATTTGTCGCTAATGTCAGTTGTTGTTGACTGCTGTTCTGACATTACAAAATGGCCACGCACAAGACTTGTGCAACCTTTCAATTTATGATCAGGTTGCCACTACAGTTTCTGGTTTTTATTCCTATTAATAAAGTCATAAAGGTGATTCGGGCATCAATATTGCCCTTTAATATTTGCTCAAAATGTGGGGGACTGTTTAGATAAACATGCTGGACTCAATAACAATTTTTGTGATTTCATTCCTATTGTCCTCGCCTTTAATGATCTTTCATACAGTTTTTATTTTGTTTCGATCATTTTCATTTAACTGCAGACCCCTTCTTACCAAGGTGCACACTTGATCCTAACAAGAGCTTAGAGTGGAGGTTAAAGGTATATTTTAACAGACCATGTTTGATCGTTTGTTTACAATATTTAAGGATTCGGTGTCGGCTTTAATGCTATTGTTATATGGTTAAAGTATCTATTGATGCTTGCAATGTCGCGCATGCAGGAATTATTTGCGCAAGTACACTGAGGTGTTAATCACAACATCATCTTTTCAAACACACCAGTCAAAATGTTAATACCCCTACCCCCATGAAAGAAAATAATATGCTTAAATTACACACACCACACAAGAGGGTCAAATTAGTCGAAAGATATCAAAAACATCGACTTAATAGAATGCCTTCCCATTCCAGAGGAAAAATGAATCAAAAAATATTAAAATAATATTTACAAAATTATGGCTAAGGTTTGTTGAACAATAATGTAATGGTACACCCTGCAAATGATTAAAAGCCTTGTAATACCAAAAGGTACAATGAGGCCTGTGCTGCTAAAAGCCAATAGTAGTCCTAATAACATCATGTACAAAGGACTTTGGCGAGAAATCTCTTTACACTCATGCCTGAGTGAGCTAACTGTTTGGGCGTTCTCGTGCTTGGAATTGTCATATGAGCCGAGCATATAATTTTAATTGAGATACATCAAGGGTCGACCGATTCAACCTCACGTTTTTCTACATGAACAATGCTAAGTTGAATGTCCAAAATTTACACAGCACACAGCATTTGGTTACACTGTATTTATTTGAAATTAGAAATGAGATTGGGTATTTTGGATAGAAAGTCAAACAACCAGAAGCATTTCGAACAATTGCATCAAGAGCTGGAAGGCAGGGCAAGTACTTTATTCACACCTATAGGGCACGAATGATTTCAATCGTACCCCTGCAACTCCACCGTAGCTGTAGGCTTGCCCACAGAAATCTGTGCCCAAGACCGCAGCTCTTTCTGTTCTACCTCAATACCCTTGAAAATGGCTTCTCTTGTTTCTTGTTTTGTATATGTTTTCTTTAATAAAACATCAATGTGGGTGATCTCCATACCATCCCCAGTATACATGACTTTAGGAACATGATTCCATAATAATGACTTTAAATTATCACATCGCCTTGCTTTTCTTGACAAATTCCATTTTTCATCATCAACTTGAAAGAAATAAAGGTGGTTATTTAGCATCAATAAGTAGAGAAATGGGACTTTAACAGGGGCCATTTTAAGTGACAGTCTGAAACTCTCTACCATATATGTGATAAGTAGAATACCATTAATAACCCACCAAGTACCTATTTGAATCATATCACTGGGTAATGTTCAAAAGGTCATTTTAAAAATCACCCCAGACCTGTTGTCATCCAGGCAACAAAGGGGGTGTGTTATTCATTGGCTAGAAACTACCAATTTAATATATCAGTGGTGGAGACTATCGAAATAAAGAGAGAAGTTGTTACATAAGGCCTCATCCTGTTGGATTGACAAGATGAAATCATGTAAAACCCCATATAATCAATGGATTCTTGATCTAAGTTAATCTACACTTGTTACCAGTATTCATCCATTGAACATTTTTGGTTGACATTCAGACCATGCAAATTACTACTGTAAAATCACCCCATTCATAAACTGACCAAAATCAAAAACAAAAATAGTGCATTGCATTTAAAATGATAGTGAACTGAGTTATTAGAGAGATATAAATGAATGATGCAATTAAAAAACATAGGAAACAAATTTCAACCGTACGATGAATTTGACACAATTTTGACATCATCTCCACAGACATGAAGATCATTTGCACACATCAGTCTTGACCCTATTCTATCTTTTAAAAAATTCTAAAAGTTGATTACTGATAATACGTTTATAAACACGCACCTGGTATTTCCAAAACAACCATCAACTTTGATATCTTACTGAAATGTGAGATCATAAGTAAAGAATTTTGCTGAAACATAATATGAAAAATATCATTAAGTCCATGCTTAATTCACCTTATCCTATCCTCGTTACACCTGCAAACCTACACCTAAAATACCATTAACATAAGAATAAAACCCCTGGCTTACAAATAAAAATAGCTTAAACATTTTCATATGACAGCAAGAAAAAAAGGACTGGTAATATAACTTACACAATACGTCAAAAGAAACCTGTTTTTCTTAAAATTAAAATTATTTTTAGCTGTTTATCCAACATTAATACACGGAAAGATCTAATACATTACAAATCTGGACTAATGTTCCCTTTACTTCACAAAGACCTTGAAACAAGACTCACGTAATGGGGAGTTTGATGGATACATGACAGTTACCAGTAAAGTCACATATGTCCATGTAACAAATGGACAATCATAACAATCTTTTAGGCAATCAATTAACAAGGCTCTGACATGCGGATCATTTGTAACTCCTTTGTCTAAAGGCACACCTTGTTTCTTACAAGATCATCAGTGTTAGTTACAGTGATCATTTTGAACAGCCCACAAAACACACTGCGACACTGCGTCTGCTTCTGCCTTTCTGCTCATACAATGTGCG